TCCTCCCGATCTCTTTCCGTGCTTTTGCATAGCTCGGAAGAGGCAGTCGATTCTTTCATCTCCAGTGCATCCTCTGAACTTGATTCAGTTGCTTACACTGGTCGTGTCGTCTCGTCGAGTCAACGGTCTAATCTGCAACGAAACGGAGGTTCGACTGAATCGAAAGCTTCTCGGCAACAGCTATCTTTGTTAGAGGAAGCATCTACCTGCTCTCAACCTGCACCGTCGAAGCGCTTGCGAGCCCACCCTCCTTCCAGCCCTAGTACCTTTTCTACAGACGCTGATATGGTTGTGGCAAGCACTGAAGATTCCAACTGGTTTCAGAATTCTTCTGAATCCTACGTAAACAATCCAAAAATCGGAACTTTTCCGGTGGCCCCAACTGTTTTGTCGACTCCGTGTGTTGACGTCAACAATCAAGAAATTGGAAATTATCCGGCCACACCAGCTGTTTTGCCGGCCCCATGTGTTGACGACAATTTTACTGGAACCACCGCTACTGCTGATGTTCATCCATCACCCGATCTGGGTATGGATATTGCACCAACCTATCGCCAGCCGGGGTTTGGACCTTCCTCCGGCTCTCGCAATCGACGGGATCCTCCTCAAGACCATACCTATGCAACTGCTACGTCCTCGAAGAAAATCCCACCCACCAACATCGAACTCTGGCGCCGGGAATGGTATACTGCCCATCAGCGCCGTGATAGCCCTCAGCCCGAAGAATTAATTCTAAAGGCCCTGCAAGCTACGCCACAGAAGCGTCGTGCGCTTATTCCTTCTTCGTTGTGTGCCACTGAAGGCTCTCGAGAATTCTGGATTCCAGCCCCTGGCCTGACGCAAGCGTTTCCACTGGCAGTGATCATGGACTCCCTTTTCACGTCATCCGAGCCGGCCTGGATCGAAGCAAGACCATTTCTTTTTGGTTTTGCCTTGGTGCGTGGTAAAGGAATCCGATTTTTTTCCAACAATTTGGAAGTCGGTACCACCTTGCGCAACTTGGAGATGAACATCTGCGGCTATGACCATGTTATTCATGCTCCCTCTCTGGTTGGGCAATTTTACTGGATTCAACTTCGTGCTCCTTCCACGGTGAGCCCCTTGGCTGTTTTTGATTTTTTTCAAGACCATGGCTGCTCTCCGGTGCTTGTATTCCCCACCCACTCCGTTGGTTCACTCCAATCCAACTCGTTGAAAGTCATTTTCAACTCCAACCGTGTGCCTGCTTTTCTTTGGTAGCAAAAGAATACCGATGAGCCTCTCCGGGAAATCTTTTTCCTTGAAGACCAGCCTCCGACTTTCGTTGTTCACAAGATCTCAGCGCTGAATGACTTTGTACCTCCCAGTATCAAGGGCAAACGACGCAAAGTTCCAGTGCAGCAACCTCAAGCCGATCATCCGACTTCGCATGCAACGGCCAACCATCCGACTTCACATGCAACGGCCAACCTTCCGACTGCACCAGCAACAAGTTCCATTCCGGAACCTGTATCGCCTGCTTCTTTACCTACGCTTAAAGACTCTCCGTCCATTTGGCACAAGAAACTCAAATCCCGCGTTTTTGAAGTTCCATTCCATCGGAAGAATTCGAAGCTGTGGAAGTCAAGGCCAAGACAAAGCTTAACGCCTCTACGTCCACGCGCAACTGGGAAGTCCCTCTGTCGAACCGCTACGAAATTTTGACCTTGGATCTGGACTCCAACATCCCCGATTTCGATCTCAAGGTCTTTCTTTCGCCCACGACACTTGGAATTAGCCCAACGGTCTCCAAACCCAACTCCAAGCTCTTGTTGAAGAAACTGGCAAGCCAATTTCATGTCGACAATATTTCCAAGGAAGATCTTACCTCGCTGGTCTCTGAATTTTGCGTCCAAACTCTGGAAGAAATGCAATATGGCGATAATTTTCTCCAAACCCTCCAAGCGCAACCGACCTATTTCCGGTCTGTGCTTGACCGTCCTGGCCTGGAAGACTTCTGGATCAACAAAGCTACTAGCCATGCTTTATGCCGCTTGCTCAGCAACACCAAGCCAGCAGCATTCAAGATCGACGGTCGCAACCTACCTATTGCTCAAGTCCTGGATGACTTTTGCAGCTTATTCGAGGACGAATTGGGTGACAGGCTCTCCCCAGGTGCCGCGCTGGATCGACTGTGTTCCCAAGAAACCCCCGATTTTTCCGCTCAAAATCACATTCAGCTGGCGTTATGGGACCTTTTTGCAATGATTTCGGCTCCGTCAATTTACTTTGACCCATCCAAAATGACCCATGCGTCGCAGCCAAGCCTCTTGGTGTCTCTTGAGTGCTCGAAGCTCCTGCTATGGTCGGATGACACCCTCGCGGAATGGGTTAACTCGGAGCTGGGGAAAATCATGATCTCATCTGCCACTATGAGACCATTCAGTGCTGCCTTCCAAGCACTCACATCAACCAATGTCTGCTCCAGCCCATAATTGGTCGCTCAATGGTTTATCCATCAATGCCAATGGTCTTGCGAACAGTACACCCCACGATTATTTTCCCCTTCGCCGCTACGATTTTATTGCCCTCCAAGAAACACACATTTCCTCCAAGGACATGTTGCGCATGGCTTCTCTCAATTGGCTCAAGACTGATGCCCAAGGCTCCAGCTTTTGGTCCAATTCCAGTTGCAACACGTTTGAGCGAAGAAATGGCTGTGCCCTACTTTTCTCAAAGTCTTCCCCCGTTTAACATCTCACGGATGTTACTCCATTGGACCTGCCCGAGATTGCCCCAAAACCGTTATCTCGTGGTCAAAGGGAACTTGGATGGCATCGTGCTATACATCCACGTGCTTTACGCCCTCACTGGAGATGACCCGCAAAAGGCTGAATTTTTCACTGCCCTGCCAACGGACTTCGTCGGGAACTCTCGCCACATTATTTGTGGCGATTTCAACCTCGCTTTGAACCCAACTCTCGACAAGGTCGTCCATTCCCATCGATGGCCAACCGGCCTTGACGCTTTAGAGCGCTGGATGTCCTCACTGGGCGTGGTCGACTCCTGGAGACTGCTCAACCCCGACTCCCGAGTCTATTCCAACCCTACTCATTCCAACAGCATCGACTATGTTTTTCTTTCGGGCGTTTTTCATCAAGAAAACCTTCAGTCGATCCGATACCACGTGGACAAATACCAAGTATTTTTCCACAATGATCATGCCCCTATCGCTTTTTCCTTGGCCGCCAACTCATACAAGCCCAAGAAAAAAGCACCATGGCGCTGCCCACCCTGGGTACTTCAGCTGCCGGAGATCCGACAACATCTCAACTACACCTTGAAGTGCACTGTAGCCGGACTATTGCCACAGGGTACTCCGGGCTTCAACCCTGCCAAGGTTATGGACGACCATCTTTTTCACGACAAGATGTACCTCCAGTCTATCGTGACTACACACCATGATCAAGACCGGAAGGAGTGTGATCGTCTGCGTCTCCGCGTTGCTGAAATTTCCACAGCACTGGAAGCTCAACCAAGCAGCGAGTTATCCAGTCAGCTGGAAGCCGCTCAGCTTCACCTCCAAGATACGCTTCGAAGAATCAAGGATCGAAATGAGTTAGACTTATTTCGCGAACAAATCAAGTCCCAAGAAAAATGCTCAAGCGCCTTTTTCAAGCCACCAGTCCCTCGGCAGCAGGCTTGCACCTTTCCAGTCAAGGACTCTGAAGACTGGGACTTAAAATCTTCAGCGTGTAGACGTTACTGGGCGAAAATATTCC